ATCTGAAACATTAAAGTGTGACAAACATGCAAAAAAATAAGAAATCAGGAAGGGGGCCAACACTTTTTCACACCACTGTATATATATATATAAAAGCCATAGTAGATTCATAAATAAACTATGATAACAAAAAGGTATGAATGTACCCTATGAATAAAACAACTGGACAACCACAGGAAGAGACTATTTTAAAGCAACAAAGTGAGACAGTTGAAGCAGAATAGGAAGAAAGAAAATGCAATAGCCACGGGGTAAAGTAAAAATTAAACAGACAAAAGTGAGAAAGAATAGGAAATATCGATAGAAAAGAAATAGAAACAGATTTGCTGTTCACTCAGAACATTAGAGGAAATTATGTCACAAGACATAATAAAGCTGTTCAGCCACAATGTCAATTTGTAGGCCGACACAAAAAGCTAATTAGCCATGGGTTCCCTCGGGAACTTCTAATGGGCTTTCAGAATAGCTTAGATAAATAATAATTAAAAAATGATGTATTTAGCACGTTACATATGCATATGTTAATTATTTTTATAAAACAAGTCTCTTCAAATAATATTAACCACAGACCTTATTTTCCTGTCATGAATGATGCAGAGCTTTTGAGCTTTTGTTAATTGTGTTCTTGGTTAACACTTCACATTACAGTGTTCATGTTACACATATTGGACAATGAATCAAATTAATTACAACAGCAATGTGTAATTGCAAGCTGCTCCACAAACTAATTGCATATTAAGGACATGATTTTCATTAGTGTTTCTCATTATTCACATATTTACTTACATGGTAACATGAACACTATGATAAGTATGACTGTATTTTGTTCACTTTTTTTTGACTTGCTCTGTCTTTCTGCAAAAACAAACCACTCATCACACGGCCAAGTCCAATTCTAATGACAGTGCATGTGAGCAGCACGAGGCCTGAGGTGTACAGGAGATCACGGGTCACAGCTGTGTGCCAGCGCTGAGTGTTTACAGAAGCACAGCAAACACAGGAAATGACAATCTAGTCTATCTTTCATTATGTCTCTCTCTCGCCTGGGGAGAAATCTGAATGGAAGGTATTGTTCTTTTCTGTGACACAGCAAAGGACAAATAATACAGCAGGTGGTCACTCCCTTCACCCTGTTTGTCTTATACACACACCGGCCATTCATAAGGTCTTCAATTAAGATGTAAAGTTCACATAGGGCTAGCTACTAGTTAAAGTAGCATGAACTATACCTATATTAATTAACCAAACAGCAGTCAAAATCTGTAAACAGAAATAGTGTTGTAAAAACAATTTTAAAAGTATAGTTCACCCAAACATGAAAATTATGTTGTCATTTACTCACCCTCAAGTTGTTCCAAACTGTTGAACACAAAAGAAGATATTTTGAAGAATGTTGGTAACCAAACAGTTGCTGGTCCCCATTGACTTCCATAGTATAGGGAAAAAATAGTCAATGAAATAGTCAAAATGAAAACGTACTTACAGTCTGTGAGTCAGAACAGCCGGCAGTGTAGTCTACTCTTCCAGGATCAGGAAACAGTCCTCCATAAAATGTGCTGCACACATCTGGATAATTTGGGTTAAACTGTTCTGGAACAGTGTTGTAAATACAACGTAACCACTGATTTGTAGTCGTGTCCTCTTTTGGAAGACCAAACAAAGTAGTTTCGCTTTCACAACGAAACACACGGCGGCCTAGCATGAGCTGAGGCCGGGCTAGAGTGAGCAGAGGCGGTGGGCTTGAGAATGGAGCGGCCGGCGGATTCGACGAAGGAGCGGCAACCACATGTGACGACCCCGGACTGGACTCCGCTTCGTCCACGGTGAAAGCCGATCCATAGCACTAAGTTGATGTATTCCCTCAGCGACCAGCACGGATCAGCTCTAGGCATGACAAAGCGGATATCGTCCTCTTTTGGAAGGCCAAACAAAGTAGTTTCGCTTTCACAA